ATGTAAACATTTTACAAGAGTGCTTCCGAATCTAAAATTTGAGCCACTTCAGCGATTCCGAATAGGTGGATGCGCGGAATGGCCCAAGAACGACTGAAGCCGAGATTCGATCCATCGATCGTACGAGAAGCAGCTGCGCCATTTCCCATTGCCTCACCTCCCCTTTCGCTTACACTTTTGCTTAAAAAATACACCGCTGGACTAACTAAGTAGTGATTTTGGGTGTGTTAGGAGGTAGGATGAAACGCAAGTGCGCCAATTATTGGACAGTCATCACCTGCTGGGCTTACTGGCGTGCGCCAGAGGAAAATTGCGCCATCTGCTAGCACATAACACTTGGAACAGTTCTGCAAACAACATGTGGCGCACATGTTACGCCCTCCTAGCAATCAAAGGTGCTAACGGATAACTTTCACGTCCAAGAGACCTCAGCGGAGGCTCTCTAGTGGACTTTGGGCAGCGATTATAGGGATTTTCCAACTTCTGTAGAATAACTAACGTTAAACGAGAACGCTTTCTATAGCGTGGAACACAAACAAACAAGCTGCAGCTCAGGAGTAGAAAAGGTGTGCCCTAAAATATTCCACCAGTTTATTTACAAGTTTTTCCACCTTTTTGGCACAACATCAACATCTTAATCGACAGCGAATCCACCTAATTGCCCAATGGCCTGATTTCCTCCATCGGCCACATTGTCAATCTTTTGCCCCAGAAATTAAGTGAGTGTGAATTCAAAATGGTTGACGACCTCATTTTTGTGAGTTCTTCAACTAGTAAGACACTTTTTCGTTCATTTTTTCTTCTGTAAAAAGCTGCAGCAGTATGAACGTTAGATACCTGCGGTTAGGGTTATACACTGGGTAAGGTGTACATTCTGTTGGAATTTTCAATTTTCGTCGGCCCATATGTAAGCACTGGGCATGGTTGATCAACTATGTATAAGCGATTAAAGCGTGGAACAACTCGGAAACGAATGCTTTCTACTCCCAAATCACCCTTTATTTGTAAATAGTACATGTGCATCTATCAAGCAGGTTAAACCTGTGCGTTGGGGAAATTCCAGGATTGTCTCACCTCTTTAGCTTTTCCGAGGGCAATCCTACATAGTGTCCGCAAAGCAAACTGCAATCCATCTCGAAAACTCCAAAATTTTTTGACGATTTAGGACGAGCTATAGGGTGGAGGGGGTCGGTCTATACTTTGTAGGGTGGGTCAAAATTAGGTTGGCAGTATCGCGCGGTCAATCCCATCGGATCCATTTGACGCGTCGCCCCTTATCTACGAGCCACCTTGCACGCCTTCTCTCCTCGTCTTACTAGCCGAGTGAATGTGGTAGATGACGGTTTCCTATCGTAATCCGGAATGACTTTGCGTGATAGTGACAAACCTCTCCCAGATGTTCCGAGCTCTGCCGAAGGATCGAAGGGAATCGTACGAAGTGCTTACGATCAGAGGCAATGAACATGATCTTCAGCAGCATCATCAGAATCGCACGATGGTGGGATTCTGATGATGCTGCTGAAGATCATTGGTTGACCAGGTTCCTTAGACACGCTGACTGGGACCGCCCCTTGATGCCAATTGCGCTCATGCCGTCATAACAACCGGACCGCCCTGAAGCCATCGCGATTACTTCTTCCAAAGGAGGGGTACTACCTCAAATTCGACTTAGCGCGACGTTCGAGAGACCAATATCGAGCGACTTATGCAGGGCTCAGGTGGTGGAATAATGTGGTTGGAAGACTATGAGCATGCCTTGAGCATACCGGTAGCCGTTACTTCCCCATTTTCGAGCTATCCCATCATTCAAGCGGTCTAATTTAATGACGCTTTCCGGATATTTAATTGTTGCATCGGCGTGCGTGCACATGCATACAATATCGCTGACCGACATCACGCAGACTTAATTTCAATGCGTTCCGTATCGAGCACATTCATCGTCGTCCAAACGATCACTATCGACACGATGACGACAAACTGGGACGCCGTGAGCGGCATCGTGGCTCTCTGACTTCGTTCCAGTCCATTTCCTCATCATTCGGTGGCTCTTTCTTAAATTGTCATCTTGCGGACCAGTTTTTCATGTCATTCATTCTCGATTGAAGCCTTTAAAGTGTTCAGAGCCTCTGTCTGGAAAAAGTTAGCTTTCTTCAATTTTTTGTAGCTCCCTTTCGCTTCTCGAATAGATCCTGTACACGCCTGCTGTGC